TAAAGTTTTTCGTTACATGCGCGCAAACTTGATGTATAATTTGCAAAATTTTGTGTTACTCACTCATTTATTGGAGGACACTGTACATTTATTTGGTATTCAAGATGGAGCAGCACTTGAATATTGATTTTGTTTTAAAAAATTGTTTTTTTGAAGCAGCTAATCCTGGAAAAGCAAATTACGAAAAATTTACATAAATAATAATTAATGATGATTGATATACCATGGGATTTTGTGCTTATTGTAGAATACATGTTAAAAAAAGCCATTACCTTTTTTTTTTTGAAAAAATTCAGTATAAGAAAAGTAATTAAAAACAAGCAACAAATTTCTAATGTTTATAATAATACAGAAAAATTAAGGTGTCAAAATATTACAAAGCACGAGAAGAACAGAGATCAAAAGAATTAGATAAAGTAAAAATAAAGATGAAAATAAAAAACTATTTTTATAAGATTAAATTATAAAAACTAGTAAGATATTATGAAAACTAGCAATGAATACAGTTAGAAATTAGTGAAAAAAATAAAACAAACCAAAATGATACATTTCTGGTTAGGAAGAGAAAATGTATTACTTCTTACTTTGTTTTGATTTTTTGATAATGATTCAAGTGACGAGTAAAGCTTATAAGACAGTAAATAATCCTTCTGTCAGTAATAAAAAAAACGTAAAAAAAAAATAATAAATAACTATACCCTACTAACATTTAATAATAAAATGTGTCTACAAAAAAATCGAATGCGCTCAAGCAAATTTTTTATCAACAAATTAAACAATCTTTTATTAATATGTCGTTTCGTCAATAAAGGTCTCAGTGGAAAATTTTGCACAAACTTGTTGTTTTCTCAAGTGTATATTTTTTCTTGCATTTACTATAAATCGTTGTTAATATTAATAATTTTTTGGTTTTTACTTTTCGTTCTCGATAAATTTTTAAGTAATTTTCTTTATCTAGATATTCCTGGAAAGTTTGGGTATCATTAATTTATAAACACAAGGAGAATTTTGTTTCTTTAAATTGAACCACAAAGAACAACGTCTCCCCAAAACATTATTGCAAAAACGGTTTTTCGTACAAATAACGATTACAAGTAATAAGTTATTCTTTCGTGAGAAAGAAATACCTATTAGATAATCACTGTATTGTTGAATAAGTATGACGTGCCTACTCTGTCACAAAGACTCAAAAAGCATCTAAAGCTGAGAACGGAAAAATAAATACCAGAATTTTCCGCAAATTAATGTAAGAACGCAGTAATAATTTAATCAATTACAGTACGGTAAATATCATTGAAAAAACCTCTTTTTTTTTATTCGCTTAAAAAGAAGTAATTTAGTATACTGAGAAGTGTCACGTTGCTGCGGAATTCATGGCGCCGTGATGAATGAAGTGACAACCGCAGTAACCTTAATACTATTATGTGTCAACAGGATTACGCAATGTTTTATTCTTGGCAACAAAAACATGCTTATTATTGAACCTTTTATAGATTTCAAGCCTCATCATATTGGCATATCCACGACTAATTATAACGCCAAGCACAAGAACTCTAAAAAACATGACGAAAAAATATATATTAATAGTAATAAATGCACGCAGTTCACAAGAGTCGAGCCCGGCATATTACGAGGACGTAAACATTTGTACAGCCCGTGAGCCGGTTTTCTTTCTTACGGAAAGAGGGTGTAGAATTATCGGGCAAACAAACGTTTTCAATAAAATTGTATTCAAAGTCCGTCGGTAAGCAATTCCATAATAAAAGGTAAAACGGCTGCAGGTGGAGATAAAAGAACGTATTGCGTATAATCAACGAATGAGCTTTTACAAAACCAAAAGCGCATTCCCGGTTAATAATCAACGGCGCGCAGACATATTATTAGCCTTGTGTCAGCACCACTCATAAACGTTGCCCTGGCGACTTTATTTAAATATAGGTTTCCTATAAATAATTCTTCCCGCTATACGTTCTCTATAGTTTTAGCATTTCCGTTTCTACCGCAAAAAATACCATTCTCGTAGTATTTTGTTAGTTTATTTAGTATTATGATTATCACAAATTGAGGGAAAATAGCCGAGACTATTAAAAGAAATCCACGTTGTGATCTTCACAAAGGCCCCCTCGCTTAACCGAAAGAAAAAAGAAACTTGTTAGGATTGCGGTTTTGTGAAATGAATTCTATATTTGGTGGAACCACGTGCGAGTTTATCAAGCGAGCTACGACTATAATTTAAAATTAGTGCAACACTTAATATAAAATGAGATAATATATATAAAAATTAATTTACCGTTTCATGGCGATTGTCATATAAAAATTCCCCATTAAGCTCGAAAGCAAGTTTTTTTACTAGTTTAACCCTTTCGATGGGATATATTCCGATAGACGTGGAATTTTTTTTTTTTCATAATCGTCCGATTTAGGTAGTTATATCACATCATGTAACTTTAATCCAAAATCGGCGAGAACATTTTACACTTATTTTTTCTCATACACATTTCCCCCCTTGATGCTTTGTTTGCCTAATATATTCAACCGTCGAGAATGGAACGTTCATGTGTGACGTATATCGCTAACTTTATCATGATACAAGGATCTAGACTAACAAACATTCACGCCTTTATTTGGGAAATGGAAATGAACCGGGCCGAGAAATCACAACATTATCAACCATCAGTTTTTTTAGTAATTAGAAAACCAAATTATTATCGGTCTTTTTTATTTCGATATCTATCTTAATGTGTTTTTAACATGAATAATATATTTACAAACTAAACAAAGAGTATATATTATTTTCGTCGCTGACGAAAGACTAATTATAAGATTTCACGAGTAGTAATAAGTCCTTTACAATGTGTGTTTAATATATATTTTGGTTATTTTTCAATGTCCATCAACTAAACTTGATAATAAATAGCATTCAAGCTCCAAGAAAAAATGATTAATGTATAACCTCATGTATACATTTTATCTGATTTTGAAGAATTTTTCGGTTCTCGCTTTCTCTCCCCCCCCTTTTTTTTTTAGGCCAAATGGCTTGGGAAAATACTAGTCATTGGGGTAGATGGAGATCCCGCGTCGGTCTCAAGCACCAACGTATCCGTAGACTTTTCATCCGCTATAATTGCCTTTTGTACTGGTGTTGCCGCTTTCGAATCATCATCATCGTGTACCATGATCGTTGGAGCACTGGTACGAGGAACATTTCCCTCCTTGACCGTCACGGACAAATTCCTGGCGTGAGATGATTGTGCTGCCGCGTTCATAACTTTGCCAGTGATTCTTCTATCTTGTAAGCAAGAATATGAAATCGGTTTACGAAGAATGGGTACCCCAATACCAAGAGCCAAATTGCTGTTGGGAGTCTCGGGTCGTGAAGAGTATGACATGATATCACGATGGATTGATTCAAATGAGCTCTTGCGAGAATCGCGAGATCCGAGAGATGGTGTTTCCAAGTTTAACGAATCTATGGACGGGCGTGAAGACAATGTCGAGGCGGTGTCGTTGTACGAGCTGATACTGTTATGTCTTCTATGTTTGCTTGAATGTAGATCCAGTCTATCCAAAACGATGTCGACTATATTTCTCTCTCCGACTCGTCTTTGCAAGATTTCCAACCACGATTGCATCTCGGCTTCACTATCGGCATAGGCAAGAAACGTGGGGGGTGGTTTGTAGTTACGATGGCTTTGAGTAGAGCTGATGGAGTCTGATGAACGGAATACTTTTTCGATGCGAATGCAATTGACAGATTTCTTTGTAGCGGTAGAGTCGTGAGTGACTGTATTGTATAAAACGAGGGGAATAACGCCAGATGGGTCTTTATCGGTCTAAATTAGAAAAGAACAATATAAGATATTGTTGTGTTAATAAGAATGTTATTTGGGATTAAAGTTTGATAGGAGTAGGAAAGGAAATAAATCGTGGTTATTTACCTGATTGCGATAGTAATACAGGTGGCTGTCTCTGAGTACAAACCAGCGACGCTTCCATGATTTACGTAAAGCATTACCACCGAGTTTAGTGAGCCATCCGCATTTTGAATCTTCGACTGGAAGAGAGTTCATTTTGGTAATGTAGATTTAATTTGTTTTAAATGAAATGATTGTGTTTGAAGTATTTGCGAAAATGTAATGGTAAAAATGGGTTGTAGATGTGTTTTTTGGTTTAATTATCCGGTTTGTTACGAAAGAGAGTTACGGATAAGCTAAGAGCTATGTTTCGATGTAAATTTTTTGATGCGGTTTAAATTGTGAGGAAGGAGCCAGGCTGCATGAAGGCGGTCCTTTTTATATTCAGGGCTCAAGTGTGTACAAGCCAAGAAGGGGAATTGTTTGAGAAAAGGGTTCGTTATTATAATTTCAATAGTGATAATGAATTGCATTATAATAACGATGATGTTATAAATAAATATACAATGACCAATGTTATTTATATGTATTAACAATAAGTATTACTTTAGAACAGCATATTTGGTTAAGATAAAGAACACATACGAACGAAGATGACTGGTTCACAGGGTTATTAATTTAATTCGGATACCATACAGTACAATTTATAATAAACTTGTATTTATTTATACTGTACAAAGTATGTGATATGTGATGCGCTTTGTAATTCTTTAAAATCACTTGCCAAAGTGACAACTACGGACCGACGATCATGCTTATATTTATTGCTAAATCTGCAACTAATTTAAGAAAATCAAAGAATAGTCTGAAAAAAGAATTGATGATTGTCAGGAGAACGTGAATGAGGA